TGACCAAATGCCCCACATGTTCAGTCTTTCTTCATGAATATATCAATATGTCATCAATGAAGACGGTGATAAAATTATTCAAAAATAGTTGGAAGACTCTATTCATCAAATCCGTAAATATTTTGGGAGCATTTGATAAGCCAAAATGCATAATTAAGAATTCATAATCGCCATACATGGTCTTAAAGACAGTTTTAGGAACATCCTCTTTCTTAATCTTTAATTGATAGTATTCAGAACATAGATTAATCTTTGAGAATACTTAGCCTCTTTGGAGTTGGTCAAACTGATCATCGATACAAGGCAACGAATACTTATTCTTTATGGTAACTTGGTTCAATTATCAACAATTGATACATAGTCCACAGATACTATAATTCTTCTTTACAAATAGTACTATTATTCTCCATGGTGATATGTTTAGTCTGATGAAGCCTTTGTCTAATAACTTTTACAGTTGTTTCTTGAACTCCTATAATTTGGCTTTTACCATTCAATATAAATCCTTAGAAATAGCGCTCGTATTAAGGATTAAGTCAATAGAGAACTCGATCTCTCGATTTGAAGGTAGACTTGAGAGATCTTCTAGAAAAATATTGAAAAATTCCTTCACTATGGGTATCTATCGTAGATTAACTTCACTTTTATTCTCCACTATGTAAGTTAGATGCATTGCACATCCCTTCTCAAGTAATCATTGAGCTTGAATACAAGTTATGAGAGACGAATGCTAGGGTTTTATAGTTCATTGGAATTTGAAGGCCTTTTCATTGGAAACATTAAAGGTTATTGTCTTTTCATTTCATGACAATCTACACTATCAGAGTATGCCGTCAACTAGTCCATTCTAATATATTGTCAAAATCATGCATATCTAAAAGCATAAGGTCTATTAATAACTCTCTAATGGCAGCTTCCACAATGCATGTGCAACAGACTATACTAGTGGTCAAGTCTTTATTGGCTAGGGTAGAGATTACTAATTCATAATCTAAGGGTAACTATTTAATGAAATGTTGAGCGAACTCATATGATGTAAAAGAATGTATAGATCCTGAGTCTATAAAAATCTTAGCAAAGGTATTAAAGATAATAAACATAACTTAGATCACATCCTGGAGGATTCAGCATCTTGCTTCATAATTGTATATATTCTTCTTTAAGTTCTTTCTCTAATATGCTTTTTAGAGATATGACACTTCTTGATTCGATGTTGAGTACTACCACATTTAAAATATCATTTTATCAATTTGTAGCAGAGTCTGCTACCATAGTTTTTTCGATAAAAGGGTAGATCTACTCTAGCTCTTGTGCTGGGGCCCATAAAAAAACTATGAGAATCATCTTCTGTTTTTTATCACACTATTATTACTAATGAGCCTTCTTTTTATTATTTGATATGAATGGTCGAACCGCTAGATCCGTTGTAAGAGTAGGCTTGTAGCATCTTTTATAATCTGGGCACGTTCTAGTGCTTCTTGGTAGACACTAATCTTTAGAACTGAGATCTTATCTCATATCTCCTAACGCATACCTCTATGAAACTTCCTGGCTTTTAAACTTTCATATTCTACTAAGTTGGGTGCAAAACAAGGTAGTTCTGTGAACTTTTTTGCATATTCTACTACAGTCATATTCCATTGCTTTAACTGTAAGAACTCTGTTTGCGTTTATTCTCGAACAAAGTTAAGAAAATACTTCTCGTAGAATAATGCTCCAAATGCTTCCTAAAGGATCAGAATCCTGAGGAATCTCTTTTTTAAGTGCTACTAGTGTTCCGCAATTCCTTTGAACATGAGTGTGTACCTTTTGCTCTGAAGTGGGACTAAGAACCTCGAACATTTTTTCTAATTCCATGATCCACTGCTCAACTAATATTAGATCTGGTCTTCTGACAAATTGTGGTGGGTTCATCCTCTCAAATCTTTCAATGAGTTTTTTATTATTTCTCTCAATTGGCTAGGTGTTATTAGTACTAGCATTATTACTGTTTGTAGCACTTTGGCTATGGATATACATTGACCTATCATCGTAGTCAAGCCTCGACTATACATATGAGTATATCTAGACTCTATTCGATTTGATCTTCCGGAACCCGATATGTCTGCTCTCTCGGTACTGTTGTTATTTCCTTATATTCATAAAATTCAAATTTAGAGGTGTTTCACTATTTTTTACAACTCTATCTAAATCTCATGTAATCCTAAATCTTGTACTCAAGTGATGTCCTAAAATCGTGCTCTACCACCTATCAAATAAGTACATCGTTTTATAGGGCAGTGACTGAAATATACTTATTTATATCACATAAACTTAAGTTAAATAAAATAATTTAATTTTATTAATCACAAAGAGTTGTATTAACATTACATCAATTGAATGTAAAATAGAAACATATGATACAAGGTTCTAAATTTTCTTTCTTATATTACAAAACAAAGGTACAAAACAGTAATCTTAATCTCAAGGCCTAGGTTCAAAAATTTTTCTCCATATTACTGCTCTCTCTACAACGATATCTTCGGTATCTAAAGGATGATAGGAGGTGAGATATAATATCTCAGTAAACAATATTATAAACTCATAACATAGTACATATAATATATAGTTTGTTTTTATACAATAAAAATATATATCATATACACTTTTCACAAATATATATACGAATCAAAAATCAAATGTACGAATCAAATAACGGAATCACAATTACTATATTCTACAATAAACTACAGTTCATCACTGTTATAAAGAATTAATCAGTTACTACACATCATGCGTAGATATATGCGCTTATCACTGGTTCTCTTACACTTAGAACACGAAATGACATACATGGGTACCCCAAATCACTATTACCTCCCAAACACGAAATTATCAGGGCACGTAGATCACACTAATTTCTTATACACCCGAATACGGAAAGACATATATGCGTACACGCATAACATTTTGTTAATACATCTGAACACGAAGCGACATGTAAAGACACACTGAAGTCTAGTATAATGCAGGTGCTCATGGAACAACTCATTTCCATAACGAGTGATGCACATATATCAAAATTATATTTTAAAAATAAAAAAAATAACATTTAAATTGAATTAATACTTAATAAATACTTATTTTACACAAATAAAAGTAAGCATAAAATATTTTTCAAAAATACGTAGGTCGTAATATCACAACATCCACTTACACATATACTAAAAATACATAAAATACTTTAAAGGTACATAGGCTAATGAATTCATAATATCTGCTTACCTTAGGTGCTATTTAATTGTATTTCAAATATTTTCTTTTTATTTATCGCTTTATGAATTCCCTTGGCAGAGTTTCGGGAAGATTTTGGTCACTTTCTTCTTTAAGAATATCCAACACAATACTAAAAAATAATCTCAAAAATCAAAGAGAAATCGGATTTCAAAACTTAAGAAAACACTTACCTTTCTCAAGATTTATGACATCTTTTGGTCAGGAACCTTATTCCTCTTATCTTTTTCTTTTTTCTCACAAATTTAACAGAATTTTCTCAAGTATTTTTTTATCTAAAAACTTTTTAAAACTCTCACGAAATCACACACTTCACACACTTTCTTCTTCCCTCACTTATTTACTTCTCACTCTTTCTTTTCCATCCATAATATTTCTCCCTCCATTCCCCATCCTCTATTTATAGAAGTGGGGAGCCAAGAGATAAATGTTACTACTTTTTCATCATGTCACTTCACAAAAAATGTTGGTACTTTTCATCATACCACTTTATCTAAAAAATTATCATCTTTCATTATGTCACTTCATCTAAAATTTTTTTACCATTTCTTCATATCTCTTCATACTTATTCTAGATTCTTCCACACTCTTCTACTTATTTTCTCATCCTTATCCATCATTTAGCTACTTGCTAATCAAATTTGAGCTAAAATAGAGCTCATTAAACTCTCTTAGGCTCACCTAAGCTCATAAAGCTTATTATAAGCTTCTCCACATGCCTCTAGATTTTTCTTGGTTTTCTATCAAATTTCTTCTACGTAAAATTTTTCTCACTTTCCTAAAGTACCTTTTAATGTCTTAAGATGTCGTTGTGGTGTCGAAACTCGTTGCTTGGTCGGAAAAAATTAGTTTTCCGTTTTGAGGAAAATTCTCACTATAAGGAATTCCAATTAACTTAACTATTTGACTTTAAACTGAGTTTTTAATCTTATTATATATATGTATATATATTTAAATACATATCAAAGTCAAATTAAACATGTCAAATAAAAAAAAAATTAACTCAGTGGCAGTTTCAGATTAGGGATTGACTACATTTACTTGGGACTCCTTAAAAGATGGCTAGTTTTCAATCAAATCCACCAACAAATTTCTCAGCCCTGTAAACTAAACCGACACAAACAATACTTGGAAACCCATATGGAATATCCACTTCTACTTTGACAACTGTGATGTGCTTGGGTAAGAATGATAAACTAAGTGATTATGTTTTTTCGGTTCTATCGTTTTAAGGAAAATTAAAAAGAAAATAAAAGTTAGATAACTCTTAATTCAAATAACTCAACTTTTTCTTACAAATTATTTAACCTAAGGAAAAACAGTTATTTTTTTCTTCCAAATTAGATAACTCAACTTTGAAAATGCAGCGTTTTATGTAATGGTAAAAAATCTTAGATTGAAAGAAAAGAAAAGAAATTTGACCGTGCGATCCCTGTCGTCAAGCATAGAAATATCTGATTCTGATTTCTGATCCTACCCCTTACCTCGCTCTATAAAGTCCCTTAATCCCTTCACTTATCATTATAATTACCATCAATTAAACCCTAAATATTTTTTTTTTTGAAAATAAACCAGACATTCTCAGACAACGACCATTTTCTTCCATGTGGTCACCTATATCCCACTCAACACAAACGCTCAGAGACTCACCCAATCTTCTCTCTGTCTCTATTATATAATCATCCTTATATATATATTCTGTTTTCGGTCCCTCCCATTTTCTTCTCTATGTTTCAAAATTGTCTTTTTCCTGCTTTTCCTCATCACTGCGCTGCGGGAGAATCACTTTTTTCTTTTTCTTCTCTTTGTACCTCTAGACCTGCGCTACGCGTTTCTGTCCTTTCCCACAGATTCTCCACGCGTTCGTCGACTCCACACAAACACCAAACCACATGTGCCTCTCTCTCTCTCTCTCTGTTTACATACATGACTGTAACTGATCGAATTATACAGGCTAGACAGTCTATAGATACTATTGATTTCATCAATGGGGACGTTTCCCAAGCACGAACGCCGCTGGGCCTCCGACACTGTCCCCGGAGCATCCGTCTTGAGCTCTGGGACGTCCCCCGGCAGCGAATCTAACTCCGCTGAGGAGTTCGTTGAGGTCACTCTCGATCTCCAAGACGATGACACTATCGTCCTCCGCAGCGTCGAGCCGGCTACCGTCATCAATATTGCCGACGACGGAGTCGACACTTCGTCAACCGCCTCCGCCACAGTGTCGGCTTCGGTTTCGAGGTCATCAACCATCAGGCGGAGCTTTTCAAACAGCCGGTTGAGGCAGTTTTCGCAGGAGCTCAAGGCGGAGGCCGTAGCCAAGGCCAAGCAGTTATCACAGGAGTTGCGAGCAGAGCTCAGACGCTTCTCCTGGAGCCACGGCCACGGGGCTAGGGCTTTCCCGGCTACTACATCGCCGGCGACGGCTCGGAATGGAGGTGGATTTGACTCGGCTCTGGCAGCTCGAGCGTTGAGGAAGCAACGTGCTCGGCTTGATCGGACTCGGTCCGGCGCTGAGAAAGCGCTTCGTGGCTTACGATTCATCAGCAACAAGAAGAACAACGGCGTCGATGCATGGAATGAAGTGCAAAACAATTTCGATAAGCTTGCCAAAGACGGTTATCTCCACCGCTCCGATTTCGCTAAATGCATAGGTTAATCTCATTTTTCTGTAATTAAAAATTGTTAGTTAATTTCACTCTATTGTTTTCGGAAAGAAAAATCTTAAAGCGCATTGTTAATTCTTTTAAATATTTGTGAAGGAATGAGAGATTCGAAAGAGTTCGCGCTGGAACTGTTCGATGCTTTGAGCAGAAGAAGGAGAATGAAAGTTGAAAAGATTAGCAGAGAGGAGCTTTACGAGTATTGGTCGCAAATCACCGATCAAAGCTTTGATTCTCGCCTACAGATCTTCTTTGACATGTACGCATAAGTAATAGTCAAGTTTTACTCTTATTTTATTTAATTAGCTCAATTAGTTCATTATAATCTTGATTTCTCAATGCAAATTAGTGGTTAATTTAATGAAATTTTAATATAAATTTAAAATTAATTAAGTACATGCGTAAAAAACGCCTTGGAAAATCCATAATTGGTGTCTGTTGTAAGAAGAGTGAGGCGATGAGAAGAGGACAAAACTGTCTTTGCAGGGGAATTTAACCACAGTATTAATCTCCTTGATTTTCTAATTATGTGTAGCTAATTTTGTACTGGTGCTATAGGGTGGACAAAAATGAAGATGGTAGAATCACGGAAGAGGAAGTCAAAGAGGTAAAATTTTGTGCTTCTCAGTTAGGCTACTTTTTTAATTGTATGAAATTATTATTATTATTATTATTTTTTATTTATAAAAATTTATAGGTGGAGCCTGATTATTTTCATAAAGTAAGTTTTAAATAACTTAGTTTAATAAGCAGGCACATTAAAATAATGAGGTCATTACTCAACCAATCATTTTCCACTTTAAACATTAAAAAGAAATTGTATAGCCGACTCCCCCATTATTAGAGAAATGAAGAAATATAAATTGATACATATATATATATAGAGAGAGATTAGGCAAATGAACTAACAAACAGAAACAGGGTGTCATTTGTTGTTTATAATAATCAACGTTAGGCGAGGATTTGGTGAACTTAATTGCTTAAAATTTCAGCACTAACCACTCCAATGTAAATAAAAAGCAAATGGAGTAATCAATTTTGCTTCTCCTTTGACGTAGCCCATCTTCACAAGCATCCTTTCCCTTCCTATTATTTTTCCTTTTGGATGTTATTTATATGAATTAAATAGTTAACTGAGAAAATTATAGTTTCTTTTGTTATAGAAATGTAATTATGACGTTCTTCAGTGGGGTTGGTAGGGGTAATTTAGGTCCATGTATATGTTTTCATTGAATCAAAATTTAAAAAAAGTCATACTTTTAATAGGATAATATTTTAGATAATCATTTTCAACGTAAAAAGTAATGGGGGTTTACTTGGTACAAACACAGATCATCATGCTAAGTGCATCCGCGAACAAATTGTCAAGACTAAAAGAACAGGCAGAGGAATATGCAGCATTGATAATGGAAGAGTTAGACCCTGAAAGACTTGGCTACATCGAGGTGGGTCCGATTCTCTATTCTAACTCTCTACCCACAACATGTATATATATATATATATATGTATGTCTATAATATAAATATATGTAGGTGTATATATAATATATACAATTCTTTCTTAGTTTGTTTCATCAAAAAATATTCTTTGCCAGTGTGGGTATATTTCCAAAATAATTTCCAGGTATTGCATCTGATCTATACCATTGACTAAAAAATTTTAATTAACGACAATAATTAAAAGAATAGTTAATTATTATTTGAGTTGGACTTTTTCATTCATAATCTTCACTATTAGACGAGGCGACAACTGATCAAACCTGCCAACTCTTTTGAGTTTATCCTGCACGAAGGAAGAAAGAAAAGAGAGGAAAGCAAATAGTGTGTGTGTGTATATATATATATATATATGTCGACTGCAGGAACTTAAGACCTAAACCTAATTAATTTTGTGAAGGCCAAATAAAATTAATAATAATAGTATTTAGGTAGTTGAACAGTATTCATGGGCCTTTTTTTTTTTTTTTTTTTAACTCTCTAATCAAATGGCCGGTTCAGAGTTTTCTGTAAAGAATTAGTCTGCATTTGTTACTTATCTAGTATTTTTGCCAAAACTGTTTTTAGTATATATTTTGATTTAAGAAAGTTACAAATATTTACATTAAAAATCATATAAAAATTATTTATTATTTCATAAATTTAATTATTTTAAATAATTAATAGTATAATTAAGAAAATTAATAATTTCGTAATGAAAAATTATAATTCTTATTGTGATAGACTTTATTTGAAATTATTTTAAAATTATTTCTTCTACTTAAACATAAAATTGTTGAAGTTTCAATTTAAAATTCTTAGTCAAAGATCCAATACAGCATATAAAATTTACAAAGTGATGTATGACTTAATTAATTTAACTTGATGATTTTAAACTAGACTATCTCAGTGGCTATCTAGGCCAACACTCTTAGGACGTTTGCAAACTGCACAGTGTGAAGACTTGATGATTGACCATTTTTGAACTAATAATCTTCCTTTCAAGTGCCAAGTGGCCTCTGATATAATACAAAACAATACGAAGGTGGGTTACCATGTGGATTGTCTTTTCCAGATTACGCGGACTCATCATTAGCATTGCAATATATATATACACACACATACACACACAGTGATGACTGACATAGCGCCTTCACGCCTGCTGCATTTTCCATCACTTATAGTGTCGTTAGTTGAAGATGTTGATGATGGCGTCTTTTCTTCTTTAGTGACATATCCGATAATATTCATGGTGACGATGATGATGGATACTAATTATATATATGATAAGATTATTTATATATATACATATATATGCAGCTGTGGCAACTCGAGACACTGCTTCTACAAAAGGACACGTACCTAAATTACAGTCAAGGACTTAGCTACACGAGTCAAGCATTGAGCCAGAACCTACAGGGACTAAAGAAGAGAAGCCGCATACAGAGACTAAGCAAACAGTTTCTGTATTATGTGCAAGATAATTGGAGAAGAATTTGGGTGTTGTCGCTTTGGGTGATGACCATGATAGGATTATTTGCATGGAAATTTTTTCAGTACAAGCAAAAAAGTGCTTTTAAGGTGATGGGTTATTGTCTTCCTACAGCCAAGGGTGCAGCCGAGACACTCAAATTCAACATGGCTCTTGTCCTCTTGCCTGTTTGTAGAAACACCATTACCTGGCTCAGGTCTACCAAATTCAGCTTCTTTCTCCCTTTTGACGACAACATCAACTTTCATAAGGTCAATTTACTATACAATATCATCTAATAACTATATGTAATTTGTACATTCATTCTGTATCTAACTATATGTTTATGTACCTACTTGCAGACGATTGCAGCAGCAATTGTAATTGGTGTGATTCTTCATGCTGGAGACCATCTCGCATGCGATTTCCCCAGGCTTATAAATGCTTCTTCTGATAACTATAACTACTATTTGAGTGGAAATTTTGGTACCCAAAAACCCACATACTTAGACCTTGTTAAAGGTCCAGAGGGAGTTACAGGAATTTTAATGGTGATCTGCATGGCTATTGCATTCACATTAGCAACAAGGCGGTTCAGACGAAACCAGATTAAGCTTCCAAAGCCCTTTGACAGGTTTACTGGCTTCAATGCCTTCTGGTATTCACACCACCTCTTTGTCATCGTCTACATCTTGCTTATCGTCCATGGTGTTTGCCTTTATCTCGTCCACAAGTGGTACCTTCAGACGGTATATTAACTTTGAAAGCTTTTCTTCTCCTCAATTACATTATATGTTCATCCACAAGTTGAGTATATGACTCTAAATCTAAGATACTGGGATCGTTTTTTTCTTATTTCAGACATGGATGTATCTTGCTATCCCAGTTTTATTATATGCTGGAGAAAGAACTCTTAGATTCTTCCGCTCTGGCTCCTACACTGTCCGACTTTTGAAGGTAAAGTCTTTTGAATGTATATATATAGAGAGAGAGAGAGAGTAATTCAAGGTTCATTACCTTGGAACTTTGTTATGTGGTGTTGTAGGTTGCCATTTACCCTGGAAATGTTCTCACATTACAAATGTCCAAGCCTTCTCAGTTTCGGTACAAGAGTGGACAGTATATGTTTGTTCAGTGCCCTGCTGTTTCTCCATTTGAGTGGTAAAAACTTAATAAGGATTTTATCTTGAATCTTATATATATATGTATACATTGTTTGAGTGCTTGATCTTGATAGCTCTGTACATTATTTGATAATAATGTTTGCTTTAATGGAAATGTCTGCTCAGGCATCCATTTTCTATTACCTCTGCTCCGGACGATGACTACCTGAGCGTTCACATTAGGCAACTAGGTGACTGGACACAAGAGCTTAAAAGGCTATTCTCTGAGGTGTGCGAACCTCCTGTAGCCGGAAAGAGTGGACTTCTGAGGGCTGATGAAACAACAAAGAAAAGGTATGTTAGATTCCTCTTTCTGTTAAGAGTCCTAGTTTTCACTTTCCTAAACCAATTTGTGACTCTATTCTTATAATAACAGTTTGCCAAAGCTCTTAATAGATGGGCCTTATGGTGCCCCAGCACAAGATTATAAGAAGTATGATGTTCTGTTACTTGTTGGTCTTGGAATTGGAGCAACACCCTTTATCAGCATCTTAAAAGATCTGCTCAACAACATTGTTAAAATGGAAGAGCAAGCGGTCAGTAACTCGTGATGTTCATAGTTATTTGCAGAAGAAACAAAATCTGACACTTTTTTTTTGGGTCTGCAGGATTCAAATTCAGATTTAAGTAGGACATCGGACCTGAGTGCGGGTAGTAATGATTCCAGCAATTCCAGGAGAGTATGTCCGAAAAGGAAAAAATTTGTGAAGACCACTAATGCTTATTTCTACTGGGTAACAAGAGAACAAGGTTCTTTTGATTGGTTCAAAGGCGTGATGAATGAAGTTGCTGATTTTGATCAAAGGGTAGGTATCAATTGGCATCCCTTGATCGACCTTCATGTTAGTATAGTGTTCCTTATTAGTGATTCTGGATGCCTGCAGGGTGTGATTGAAATGCATAACTACTTGACCAGTGTGTATGAGGAAGGGGATGCCCGATCAGCGCTCATTACCATGGTTCAAGCACTAAATCATGCCAAGAATGGGGTTGACGTTGTTTCTGGCACTAGGGTAAGGCCAACCATCTCTCCCTCATTTCATTTTCTTATTCATTGCAGAGTTGTTATCTCCATTAAATACTTGATTAATACACGGTCTTTCTTTTTCCTTTTGGTTTTCGTCAACATGTTGCTTGTTTATGTGTTTTTTTCTCTTGAAGCTTGATCTTCTAAGTAGTGTTTTTATTAGATGGGTTTCGAGTAAAATTAGTGTTCAATTTGTGAACCCAGTTGAAGTGTTATGTTATTATAAGTACATTATGTTGACGGTATTCTAAATATTGGTAGTTATTTATAGTTGTTTAATTTTATGATCAGGTACGGACCCATTTTGCAAGGCCCAATTGGAAAAAAGTTCTCTCTAAAATAAGTTCAAAACATTCTGGCGCAAGAATAGGTAATTTTATTATTTTTAACAAAGAATCATAAGAATAAAAAATATATATATATTTTAGTTTTATTAATGTTAATTTAAATGTTTTTGGTACAGGAGTCTTTTATTGTGGTGCACCAGTGTTGGCTAAAGAACTGAGCAAACTCTGTTATGAGTTTAATCAAAAAGGTTCTACAAAGTTTGAATTTCACAAAGAGTATTTCTAATACAATTCTCCCCACTTCCCCCAAACAAGGAAAATCTTTACACCATTCAAAACCTTATCTTAATCTAAGACATCACTTCCGTACGTACAAAAATAGTAAATAGAAATTTAGTAATAAGCCAGACAGATCATGAGGCATTGTACAGTTCCAGATGTGAACAAATTATTTAGAAAGATACAACAGAAAAGAAAGGTAAATTATCTCTTGATATATTGTATAGGTATAGAATAAGATTTGGCATAGCAAACAGAGAGAACCAGAAAACGTTAGAGCCCTCCAAGTGGCTTTCCAGAAATTCGAAGGTGAACCTGCTCCTCTTTGAAGATTTACACGTGACAAAATATTAGTGTGACAAATGGAACGTGTATGCGAGATTGTAAAGGAGTGAAGAGATTGATCGATCCAGCCCTAGCATTGATTGGAGTAGAACCAACTGATGAAGAAGTAGAAAAACGTACAGTTTTGAAAACGACAGAGGCTGCATTAGGATTGCAATTGGCTTTTTTATTTGTTTATCCTATTTTATTGACCCCCTTTTCTTTTTGCTTATTATTATTATTATTATTATACTTTTGTTGGGTTGGCCGCAAAAGGAGTCCTTCAAGATCTTGCAAATCATATTTGGATTGCTCGATTAGAGACAATAGAAAGTATAAAAATCTTGTTTATACTTGCCTATAACTTATATGTATTTCTCTAAAGTGTAATTTATTTTATATAGTTTAATTATTTGTAATTTAGATCCATATTTGTTTATATAATTTAATTTGTTAAGTTAATATTGAGCTCAATATAAATGCAAACAAAGCATCCTCTTGTCACCAAAGAAGTGATGATGTCCACAGGTTTTACATGCTCGAATTGCGAGCCCAGCTTGTTTTTTCAAGAAATATGTAGTTAACTGTTCAATGCTCCGACCCTGGATAAAGAAAATTAATTTCTTTTGAGAAGTTTGAGCACCAAGGTTCTACTTCAAGGCTTTTATGTGAGTTATTTTTCTTTTCATAATCAGTGTAATAACTCAAATATAAATCTTTCATTAAATATTTTGGTTACATTTTTTTAATGAGAAAATCGTTACAAAATTAAGTATTTCTATTATATTTATTAAGGAGTAAAATGTTACAAAATTAAGTATTTTTGTTCACGTTTTTTAATTAAAAAATATTACACAATTAAGTATTTTCATTATGATTCTAATAAAAAAATATTATAGAATTGAATTGTCCATTAATTGCGCATAACTTTTTTTATTAAAAAATCTTTATGAATAGAAGCAACATTGTTGGCTCACTAAGCACAAAAAAGGTTCTTCAATACATTGTTCCATCATGCTTAGAAGAATCAAATGCAGAGAGGAAAAGCAAGTCAACTGTTCAAACTAAGCAATGGCGAGAGATATTTATCGATCTTTTACTTCTGCTAATTTTCATTTATCTTGTCATTTAAATATGTTATAATGTTTATATGTCTTACATTTGGTATTACAATGATTTATAATATATTTCTTGTTTATGTTAGAGTGTTTACAAAAAATTTTGTGAAACCAAACATTTGAACAACACATTGTTTTGTCTTAAAGATGTTCCAAATGATGTGTCGTTTTTTATGACCACAATTGTTATAAAAGCATAAAAAACTATTGGGTTGGTATTTCTTAAGTTTAATCTTTTATAAAAATTTCACAAATCTGGTTATTTTGTGTAAATTTTTATTGAAGTATGATCGTAAATTTAAGTAATTTAAATCGTATAATATTAAGTTTGTGCTTAAATGTTATATTATTGTATGTATTTATTGTTCTATGCACACAATTTTTTTTTTTAAGTAAATAATTCATTCATGATGTTGCATAATGTATTTAGCAAATCATTTCGAATAAAATTCA